GCCCTGGCACGGCTCTTGCTAACTGAGCAAGCGGAGGTTCCTAATGCTCTGCTGGGGAAATGACAACACTTGGACATTTCTGTAGCACCCTTCAGGCTCAGGGCACCGTACAAATGAGGATGCATGCAGGCTTGGATGTCACCTGCAAGGGTGCTGCAGCTGGGGAAAGGGAAGCAGAAAGCAATGAAGTGATTAGCCCAAGGTCACGATTTCATCTGCAAGCACAGGGAAAGCTCTAAGCCCTGTGGCTTAACCAATACACACAGATACAGCAACCCTAATGAGCTCTTCATTAGACCCACATTGCATGACTGGAATGGTTTGACACTGTAGGAACTCTAGCCAAGCAATAGTGAGAACTTTTCTTTCAAATTTTCAAAGAGTTAACACTGCAAGAGAAGCAGCCTTATTCTTAAGGAAACCTGTGAATAACTGAATTTGAGAGCTGGTTATTCTGAAGGCAAGCAAAAAGCTTTGTTCTTATCCAGACCCCAAATCTCAGGTGATAAACAATGGTAGAATATAAATGCTAAAATACTCATCTCCAAATAAAGTGTTCTGGTCTTATCAAAGTGAAACACTGCCATAATTTTCCATCGAAAGTATCATCAGCCCATTCCGAGCAGCCATTCTGACCCAGCCAAGATGCACACTGTGAGTCTATTCTCTATGCTTCATTATTTCCCCAGGGTAAAAAGGATTTTTTTCTCCTCTGCTGCACAGACATCATTGGGATGTTTTCAGTTAAAAAAAAAAAAAAAAAAGTAAATGTTGTGAGTCGAGAGAGCAGCTCTGAACTCATTGTCCCCTTAGGTAGGAAGCATACCACAAAATGTTTTTTTGCCTTTGTGCAAAGTGAAGCTAACAGCATAAAATCCACTTCTTTTTTTTTTTTTTTTGCATTGCATTCCATTGCATTGCATTGCATTGCATTGCAACAACCTGGGACGTTACATCTCACTCCTACACTTACCATGTCACCAACACATTTCCAAGTGAACTTGAATTTGTACGCTACCAGTGCTCTAAGAGCTCAACTTTAAAGCTTGGTTGACTTCATAAAGAACCAACCATGGCAGGCAGAAGAGATGACGCAAGCCAATTCAGACAAGACAACCAAAGACTGAAAGGCTGCGCTGCAAATCCTCAGCCTCCTGCTTTCCTTCCTTCTGTTGATGGATTGATGGTTGTACTAGATAATCTCAGTGGTCTTTTCCAACCTTAAGGATTTTATGATTCTCCCTGTCTCCACCAAATTGCCAAGAAACATTGTAAAACACCATCACAAGACCCTTAATCAAACTGATCACATCTTGCAAAGGTATAGTTTGAACATATGGCTGTGTAATTTCCTTTTGCCCTTATCATCCCCTCTTCCCTCATCATTAGCACTGCTATTATGTGGGTGTAGCATCAGAGTGCATCACTACCATTCTTCTACCAAGCTGGGTGTGAGGTAAAACCAAAATGAAAAGACAGAAGCAAAACCCTGTCTGTGTTCTTTAATTTAAGAGCTTTTAGTGTCCAGTGACAGTCAGACAGTAATCCAGCCAAACTAACAAGAGAAAATGCCTCTGTCTAATTGAAATAGTAGGATCCAAGAGAAATCAGATCCAGAGAAAGAGTTGAGCTCAACGTCCAGTTTTGGGCTGGGTCCAAACAGTCCCATCATAGTTTAGGGGTGTCTCTTTCCAACACTGCTTTCAGAACAAGCTCATAACTCTATCAAAATCAAGGAAAACTGCTTCCTTTCCCTGCTACAAAAGCAACATGAAGAAAAACCTCATCCTTGGCAGCTCTGAATCAGACGCCTGGGCAGCAACACTCATCCACCACAAACCTTTTCAGGTCCCTTTTCACTGCAAAGAAGCAGTGCCCATAGCAGGGTTACAAATATTTCAAACTGCCAGGGCCAAAGATTCCAGAAGGGAGATTTATAGCAATAAATAATATTAATGACACAGGCGGACAGAGCTTCTTGTCTGGAGAGCTCCAAAGGCACATGAAAAACTGCACTATAAATGTCACCACTGCAGACACCAACACTGACGAGATGCCACCTCTGGGGAAGGCAGGCAGCTCGGAATGACACTCGGACAAGAAACTAGGAGGACCTGAGTGAGCAGTGCTCCGTAGCACTGACAAATGCTGGGCTTTACTTAGGGGGAATTCAGATCTCAGCTTTCCTCCAAGCACAGCCAAAGAACTCATGAACTCATGAGCTGACTCCAGTCTGGGAATAACAAATTGTGAAACTACATCCCAATCAACAGCCAGAAGAGTTGGAAAGAGGAGGGAGGAAGCAATTTCAGACCCAAACCCCAAAAGACTAGCAGAGAGGTAAGTTGCAGATACAATAAAACATGTGTGGGGGAAGGAAGCTGCATCCTCCTGCAGCCAAATACAATCTCTGATGCAAAAATGCCTGCACTGATGATAAAGGGCTTACACCAATTTGTGGTAACCAGATAACTCCCAAACACCAAGATCTGAGGCAGCAGTAGTATGTGACCATGTCAAATTGGCGTTTTTTTTCCCTATCTGTTTAGTTAAGAAACTCCAGTCCCTCTATGAACATAAAGTTAGCCCTGCATTAGAGAAAGTTCTGCTTTAGCCAAGCCACAGACTTCTTTCTCTGTGCCTCCCAGCCCACTTCCATAAGATAGATGAGTGGAGGACCTTCCCTGGTTGCTCAGCTGCACAGCTGGGCTCACTTATATCAAGCTTTGCCTTAAAACTATTCTTGCAGCAGAAATCTTGATTTATTGCTTCTGATCATGCAACCCTTCTAGACTTCACCGGGACTGGGTTGTTCGCAATGACAGCACGATGGACAAAGCTCACCCATCTGTCATCACAATGTCCAGAGTCAAAAGTTTAAGCAGTTGTAAGCTCAGGATGAAGTTTGGATTATTGCAGCTGCCGGATGCAGTGCTGCAGGGGCACGTATGAATAACAGAATCACAGAATCATAGAATAGCTTAGATTGGATGGGACACTGAAGATCACTGAGCTCCAACCCCCTTGCCATGAAGAGTTGTCACCCACTAGATCAGGCTGCCCAGGGCCTTATCCTGCCTGGCCTGGAATGCCACCAGGGATGGGGCACCCACAGCTTCTCTGAGCAGACTGCTCCAGTGCCTCACCATCCTCTGTGTAAAGAATTTCTTCCTAATATCCAACCTAAATTTCCACTCTTTTAGTTTAAATCCATTTCCCCTTGTTCTCTACCTACCTGTGTAAATGTTCTGTCTCCATCCTGCTTATAAGCTCATTTCAAATACTGGAAGACCACAATGAGGTCTCCCTGGAGCCTTCTCTTCACAAGCTGAAGTATGGTGCAGAGATCTGTAGGATATGGGTCCCAGCTGGTTCAGTAGAGCACAGCAGGACACCTTGAGTGCCACCTGGGTACAATTTGGGTGCCACTGCTGTACCAGCACGGTTCCCTCCCTTCTGCACTTCGTTTCAGACGGCAAAACAACTTCCCATGGAAGAAGATTGTTGCAGGGACATCAAATGCAACCAACTCGGGTTGGATATTAGAAAAAACTTCTTCTCAGGAAGAGAGGCAAGATTTTGGAACAGGCTACTCAGGGAGGTGGTGGAGTCACCATCCCTGGAAGTTTCCAAGAAATGTACAGACGTGGCACTGAGGAGCATGATTTAGTGGACATGATGGGGATGGGCTGATGGTTGGATTAGATGACCTTTATAATCTTTTCCAATCTTCACAATTCTATGATTCTATGAACTCTTTCTAGGTCCCTTCCAAGCAGGAACATGTTCCTACCTTCAAACCTTCTTCAACCAGAGCTCTGCTTTGGAAATAAGAAGCTCAGTGCTTCACTCCAGAGGACCCAAAGAGCAACTCTATGCAGGGCTCAAGAGCCCACTTGGAGTGGCTGGACCTGCATGGGGTCCAGGCAAACACAACCAACACTGTGTCTTTAAAACCACTTCAGTGCAGATGTTGTTTCCATGGTAACTAGTGGACCAAATACATTAGTGTTTCTAATAATAAACCAAACCTTCATCTTGGAAAATGTGATCCCCCCCCTCCCCTTTACCAACACCACCCTTCCTTTCTTTCTTTCCCCTCCCCTTTTGCTGAATTAAGCCAGCGTTTAACAAGCAAGGCATAATTAGTAAATAATTGCCCGGGCCCAGTAACTCCCAATGCCCAGCAGATGGAGGAGTGTGGAAGGAGAGGAGGGGGAGCTCCTCTCCATCAACTTGGGACAGCATCCAAAAAAGGAGAAATTACACACACACACAAAAAAAAAAAAAAAAAAAAAAAAAAAAGTGCAAGGTGGAGGAGAGCAATCCCTTCGGGGCCACCCTGGCAGTGCCCTGGGTGCCCTGGCAGCCGCCCTGATGCTCTGATTCAGGGTGCAGCATTTCGAGGAATCTCCGTCCGAGCAGCGGCGGCGGAGGCGGCATCGCTGCGCCGACAGCGGATGAAACTTCGCGCACACCCCCCTCCGCAACTCCCCCGTTTTTGTTCTGGCGCAGGGATCACCCCCCTCCTCTTCCCCCCCCCCCCCCTCAAAAAAAAAAAAAAAAGCCCTAAACAGGTGATAAGGAAACGAGACGGGGATGCAGAGGGGTGAACAAGTCTGAATGTGGGATGGGGATGGGATGGGGATGATGCTCGAAATGAAGACACGTGTGACGATGGAGTGGGGGGAACCCCCCTCCCAGGCATACACTTTAGCAGCAGGAGGAATGAGGAATAAGGAGGAAGGGGACATCAATGCAGCAGCATCCCCGGTCTGTCCTCCCCTCCCCAAGCTACGGCTGAGGAATAAAGGCAACGGGGGTGGGGGGAAGGATGTAAAGCCCCCAGGGATGAGGGTGCTCGCTACCAGCACCACTTGGGCTCGGGCTTGTGCCTTCCCATCTCTTCTATTTTATCGTCCCCCTGCTCTTTTCCTTCCCGCCCCGCAACCCCTCCCTTTCTCATCGTCCCCTTTCCGCGGGTGACCGGAGGGACTCACCATGTCGGGGCTGAGCTGGGCTAAGATGGCGAAGGCGGAGAGCTTGTCACAGAGGCATTTAGTCCGGGAGGCGTCGAGCGGGACCGTTCGGCAACCGCGCCAGGACCAGGCGCCGGGCAGGGAGGCGGAGGCTCTGCTGGAGGGAGGCAGGGAGGGAGGGAGGGAGGGAATGGGGCGGCGGAGCGGGGAGAGAAGGAGAGCGGCCGTCAGGGAGGATGGTGAGCGGGCATGATGCCGCGGGGGGGGACGCGGTCCCCGCTACCTCCCTCCCTATAGGATTGAGTATAGCAGTGGTCCCACCCCCAGCTCAGCTCGGGTCCTGGCCCTATCCTGGTCCTGACCTTTTTTCTGGACTTGGTCCTGGACCTAGACCCGGTCCTGACTTTGTTGCTGGACCTGGTTCTGGTTCTGATCCTGTTCCTGATGCTGATCCTGACCCTGATCTTTATCCCTATCTTTAGCCTTACCCTGGTCCAGATCCTGTCCCTCATCCTTATCCTGATCTTAATCCTTATCCTGATCTTTATATTGGTTTTGATCCTGATCCTCACCCTGGTCCCAGACTTACTTTTAATTGTGGTCCTAACCCTTGTCATGATCTTGGTCCTGGATCCTGACCTGGTCCTGACCCTGACATGGTCTTGACCCTGGTTGTGACCCAACCCTGGTCCACTCTCACTCCACTCTGACCCCTCCATCACCCCCTCACACACACACACTGTAAATGCCCTTTTTCACACCCTTGCACTTACCTACCCCTATAGCTGTGTTCCCTCTATCTCATATACACCTCACTAACTATCTATGACATTAACCCTACAGCTCTGACCCGAAAATCCCATATATGTATGCATAACCTTATAACCTTTTCCACATACTACAAATTGAGATCACAGAGTCATAAAACTATCCCACATATTCCACACATGGATAAATAACCCTACATCTCAGTTCTATGCAGACCACATATACCTCTCAAAGCTTATAGCTGCGTCCTACACAATCCATACACAGCTCCCTAATCATATAGCCTTGTACCACATACCCCATACACACCTCTCTAACCCTATAGCCCTATACAATGTCTTATATACACCTACGTAACCCTACAGCCCTGTACTATATTGCTCACAGACACCTCCCTGCCCCTATAGCCTTGTAGTACACAACCCACACACTTATCCCTGACCCTACAGCCCTGTACTACACAACCCATACACATTTCCCTGACTCTATAGCCTTGAACCCATATGCAACCCATATATATTTGCCTAACCGTAAACCCCTATACAACATCCTATATACGCTTTCCTAACCCAACAGCTCTGTACTACACATCCTATGCATACCTCACTAACATTATGTCCATATCCTACACAACTCATATACACCTCTCTAACCCTATGGCTGTGCCCCATATATCCTGTACCCATACATTCCTATCCTCTATTATTCCCATAGAGTTGCAGAATCCTATAGCCCCATCCCACACCCCATATATATCTCACTGCCCCCATAATTCCATCCCATCCCCTGTAGGCATTCCCCTCACCCCAAGTCCTTCACAGCCCCATGCATCCTGGGGGAACCCAAAAGCCTTCCTCCCTGGTTTTGGGAAAGGGATTTGGGACATCTTCACAGGGTTTTCAACAGACGAGGGGTGAGGAGAGCTGGAGAGACACTGAAGGGACAATACCCCCGCTTTGTAACAGCACCCTCCAACAAGGAGGCAAGAGCAAAAGGGCTGTATGCCTTCACTGGAAGAGCATGGGTGTAAGATGTCCTCCTTCCACATCTGACCATCCTCAGAGGAGGGGACCTCAGCAAGAACGCTAGCAGCAAGCCGAAGGCAGCTCCAGATGGAGCCAAGCTGCTCAGCTGCCTTAGGTGTATCACAGATGGCCTGAACTTTGTGATGCTGACTCCAGCAGACCTGGCGTGAGTTGCTGAGTTGTTTTGTTTTTTTTTTCTTTTTTTCCCAGAACTCATCTCCATGCACACACTGACACATTCCTCTCTCAACGAGAGGAAATATCCATCCACTCACATCAAGAAGAGAGCTGAAAGCAAAGAGAGGCTGGGTACTAGCAGGGTAACAGAGCATCAGTGCATAGTAATGATTCTGTTGTGAGTATCTACTTGGATCCAATTTAACACCTAACACCAAGCATTCCTGAATTACCATTCTTTTGAACTAAAGTGAAAACAAAAAAAACCAAAAACAAACAAACAAAAAAAGCCAAACTAATTTTGCTTTTAGGAGTTATCCTTGATAAGACAAGAGGTAATGGCATTAAGTTGCACCAAGAGAGGTTCAGGTTGGATATTAAGAAAAATTTCTTCTCAGGGAGAGTGTCCAGGCATTGGAACAGGCTCCCAGGGAGGTGGTGGAGTCACCATCCCTGAAGGTGTTTAAAAAGATGGATATTTGATACCAAGGGACATGGTTTAGTGGGCATGGTGGTGATGGGTTGATGGTTGGACTAGCTGATCTCAGTAGTCTTTCCAACTTTAATGATTCTATGATTCTATCAGTTACACACAATCAAAACAGTTTTTCTTCCACCTGTGCAATCGTTCCTAAATAGCTGAATTCCACTGCTTGTCCATCCAGCTGATGGGATCTATCTTTCCTAGATAAGTCAGTTCCACACTGCACTAATTCACAACGTGTCTTAAGATTTTTCAGGATCAGGCATCAATCTTTGATTTCTTCCACGCATCTTCTGAAGTTCATGGAATCATATAATCATATAACAGCTTAGGTTGGAGGGGATCCTAAAAATCATCGAGTTCCAATCCCCCCCAAGCTCTCTCCCCATGGGTATGGTGCTGGCTTACCCAAGGCTCCATCCAACCTGGCCTTGAACACCTCCAGAGATGGAGAATCCACAGCTTCTCTTGGCAACCTTTGCCAGTGACTCACCACTCTCTGAGTAAAGAATTTCCACTTCATATCTAACCTAAATGTCCCCTCTTTTAGTTTCAAGCCTTCCCCCTCATCCTATCACTATCAGACCAGGTAAAAATTAATTCCCTTTCCTTCTTGTAAGCTCCTTTGAAATACTGGAAGGCCTCCAGTGCCTGGAGCCTTCCAGGCTGAACAAGCCCAACTCCCTCAACTTGTCTTCATTGGAGTGGTGCTCCAGTCCTCTGAGCATCTTTGTGGATTTCCTCTGGACCCTCTCCAACAGCTCTGCATCACTTCACCTACTCCCTTAGAAGGGACTGACTGATCCAAGGCTAATCTCAGAGGGAATATAACTTCTGCATTCTCCTCCATATGCATCACTTTTATTTCCAAGAACTGTGCTAACCAGTTGTTCTGTTTATCCACTATCATCAAGAAAAATGCCTTATTTATGACGCGTAAAATTAATGACAAATGCTGAGACTTTATCAAGCAGTTATGTATTCTCATACGAAGTACTAATTTAGCTTGACAAAATGTATTTTCCGTAAGTTGATTTCCATTAATGCTTCTGTTTTAAGGAGTATGATATTATTCAATTATAATCATGGTGTTACCCACAATCCCCTCATTTTTGGATCCTCGATCAGATGGTGAGTTATGGTGCCTAAGACAGATGTGAGGCTGATGGCTTTGGAACAAGGACACTTGGTTCTCAGCATACTTAGGGAACTTTCACTCTTCTCTTAGTGAAGAACAATGATCTCCAATTAGCCTTACCCTGCTCTTTTAAAAACTCTTGCATGCAAAATTGCTCAGACTTGTATCTCTTAAAAATGTCTTACTTTATTAGATGATGTATGGCATTGTTTCTAGCAGCTGGTGTAATGAAAAGTATTTCATTAGCTTGGGTTGTGGATTAAGTAACTAGGCTCTCTTCCAATTATAGAATATAGACATTTATTGAAATTTCTGCATTATTATAAATAAATCTGTCATTTTGAACTAGTAGCAGACCATTACCATTAGAATTTACTTTGGTTTAGCATACACTAAATTTTCCTTTTTTACTCACTTTAACAATCCTGAACTATAAAATTCCTACTTTTTTTTCTTCTCTTATCTCTCTCAAGCTTTTAATTTGTACTGCTTGCTATCAATTTGTCCTTTCTCCCTATCCTTACAACAGTTTTTACTTTTCCTCTAAAACAGACTGCTGTTTATGTAGTTATTGGCTTGTTTCTATTTGCTCTCTTTTTTTACTATTTTGTTTGCTTTGTTTATGTGTGTTTCTTAATGTTGAGGCAATTTTCTTTTCACTTATGGTTCTTCAAAGGGCTCCTAATTATCTGCAAATTTTTCCATTTAAACAGTCCTCCACAACAGATATGTGCATTTAAAGCTATCATTCTCAAAGCACTGAGTATGTGTACATTGACACATACATAACGCCCTATGCCCCAAGCTACTTGAGACTCTAAAAAGTGTGGATACAATTGCCTTTACATCGCTTTCAATCCTCAAACCCAGATTTGCTCATTTACCAGCTTTCAGAGTAGAGTAGGACAGATCTGGGCCACGCATCAACCAAAGTAATCTCATCCAAAAAGGCAAAGAAAACAAAGAAAAAGTAATCAGAAAGCCTACTAAAATGGGAAACCCCAGGGAAGGTATCAGAAAACAAATAACTCTCCCTAGATGCTGTGCCCAGTCTCACATTCTTGTGGCAGTAAAGCTGACAGCTCAGCAATGAGTGCAATATTGAAATAAAGTCTGTCCAAAGCCAAAGCCACATTTGGCATGGTCTGATCTTCATTTCTTGATGCTCAGAGAGAGCACAGAGTGATATCCAGGCCAAGAAAAATATTAAAAAACAGCATAACAAAAACAACCAACAACAAACAAATGAAAAAATCAACACATACACTAACAGCTCCTTGTTCTTGTAAGATTTGTTCTGATGCCTGCTTATTTATCCCATTGCATTCAAAGAAATCAATTGGATCAAAGCCATGTAGTTTTTCTCACTTTACAATAAATCACATAAATGATGGGTGCTGCGGGACATGCTGAGTCAGAGACTTGGTGTAAATCATCTCAAAATAAATCCAACTATGCCATTTAATAGAAAATGAATCCGGCCATCATTACTACCTGTGATTATTAATTGATTATTACAAAAAACCAAGTGCTGGGTGATCCAAAGAGGATATTGTATCCATCCC